TATATATATATATATTCATAATGAGTATTTAAAATGAACACAAAAAGTGAAACTAAAGCAATTTAAAAAAAAAACAACAACAAAAAAAACAGTAAAGTAGCTTGCGAGTGTCCAGCGAACCAGCTAAGCTAGTGAGACCTTTGGGTATGCATTAATCATTGTATTTATTTTTACACATTTTCAAAAAGCAAAACACAGGCCGGGGCCCTGACTCTCATACATTTATTTAAACTTTTGAGGCATTTTTCTTCCAGAAATTTCGGCTTGAAGTGTAAATTGTGGAAACCACAGTTGACAGGGACTAAGTCGAAAGCCAAACATTCGCAAGACACAATATTTACACTCTAATGTCAACGTGACTACTATTGCAAGAATGACTGTTAAGAAAAACAAATGAACAAAACTGCGACATGACTTTAATACACCGATTATACTGTCCTGCTCATTCGGATTTTGCCACCCTGCAACATCTGCTGCAAATTACAATTACGGTAGATGACCTGGAGAGATAAAAAGAGTACCTGGATTGTGTTTCTTCAAAAGCACACCAAACACTGCACCAATCCGTCAAGTCAGGTAGACTCCAAGAGTCATTTCCTTGCAATCCGAAGCCACCGCCAGAGGAGGAACAATGCAATTGGGGTGGCGTGGGGGCAAGGTATTAGGGTATACAAATGAAACCACTCATGTCAGCATCCAAGAATGAAATAGGTGGTGAGAAGCAGTCATCTGTTCGGTACTTATAATTGAACGACTGACTGCAAGCCTTTTATGGAACATGGTTTCATAACTTGTGTATATGCTAGAGGCATGGCAGATTTTTTGCGGGTGTTCACCGTACGTGAAAATCAGTTTTCAAGGCAGACTTTTGCAGAAAAGCGAAATGTCGTGAGGTATGATTTTTGCTAAGTGCGGTTGACATGATAGTGGTGGTATTTAGAGGTGGATGAAGTCTGACAAGGCCCCCATGCTGAAGGCTCGGGTCCCAATCGCGGGTCCCAATCGCATGGCCGGCCACTGGCATACTTCGGTCTCCGAAAGGCGGTATTCTTGAGTTAGCTCTTGCGTTGGGAAGTCAGCGTTTCCCCTTCAAGTCAGATCCTGCGCAGCTGGTGC